GATAAAAGGCTTGAGCTCTTGCAAGTTCTTGACGAAAGCATCATGCGCTTTCCGTTTGGCACACCGATCGGCAAGCTCATTGCCTCGCGTCAAGTATGCAGGTTGTCCTGTGTGACCTCGTGGAACATGGGCCTTCACTTTGACGAAGGAAATATTGCAGTTCGGTCTTTTGTGGACCTCTTCAAGAACAGCTGTCCACAAATCGTGGTTATCAAACTTGACAATATCCTCAAACCGATAGCCATGTTGCTTCAGAGATGTCGCCCTGTCGACAACCCCTGCGCAATCGCTGACCAATGTAACCGAACCATGGGTAAGCTTAAGGGCCAAAACAGCGGCATACAATTCAGCACGCTGGGATGTGAGATCCCTGCCTGGCAAGAGCACCGACATTTCAAACTTAGCAGGAACGACGACAGCACATGCCGCGGAGCGTAACGCTTGCCACTTTTCGTGGAAAGCAGACCCGTCCAGAAAGACTGGCTCGTCAACTGAAAAGGTCTCGGAGATCTCGGGGAACTCAAGCAAGTGGTCACGTGACCTTTCCGAAGCAAATGCATCTCTCGGGGAGAAGAAAATGCCGGCTGTCCAAGAGACGGCATTCTCTTCACCCCTGATTGGCCTGGTAGCTGCGTATAGTGGACACTCAATAAACAAATGTTGATGAGTCTCCGCGTGCTGTTTGCAACAACACTCATCCGATTGAGTCATACCAGCAGCTTTGAGTCGCGGTCCGGTATAGATGCCGCCTGTGATAAACGACTCAAGAATAGCACGAGTGTGGGCATGATTGGAGGGCAACCGCTGCAAAAAGGGCTTCAAGAACTGGAAGTCCTCATCAGACCGGAAGTCTGACTCAATCAAAAACCTGGTCAAGAAAATGTCCATGTCCGGAATGTTAGCCGGAAGCTGGCAGTCATGCCGAATCGAAGCTTTGCGTAACAAGTAAGTTCGAACCGCAACGCCTAACTCCTCTCTGAAGAATTGTGTGCTACCCGCTGCTAAGCAAATTTCTCCGCGCGGCGGGGTTTTAATGACGAAGTTGTCGACATCAACAAAGGACCATTGCAACTCCTGACAAAGAAAAGCAAAGACTGCTGCAACGCCATTGCTGGTATGTTGCACCTTACCGACGAGCCTTTGAGCGTCTTGCAAAACTCTGACTGCTAAAGCTGGGTTGCTACGGGTCATTTTGCGAAGCTTCGAAAACACATGTAACACCCATTTGCCAAAAGGGTCAAGAAAAGGATCAGCTCGCGTAGCCATACTCAAAAACGGACACCGAACATGGTTCTTTTTGAACAAACAAGCCACAACGGCTGAGCGGATGCTATGAAGGACTCGCGCAGAAGGGGCTTGTATTTCAGAGCCATACACCCACTTGGAATGAGCATTGGAGTGAATGTGGATTTCTTTCTGTTGTTGCGACAAAGGTAAGACAGCGATCTTCTGCAACATCTGACGAGCCTTAGCGGCCCGACTATTCTGAATAGCAACGCTGCCTTTGAGTTTGCACGACTGTGTAAAGCCTAGAGATTTAACAGTTTTCTTACGACTAAAGTTTTGACGACCAACTTCACGAAGAAACCTGTCAGCTTTTGCCTTGCGTTTTGTCATTAGCGTTGTCTTCTCCTGATTGAGAACTTGCCCGATGCTTTGGTCAAACTGCTCAACACAGCATAAAGCATTAGCCAGTTCAGCATGGTTGTTTTCTGGGGTCCAAAACTTGGCATCATCAATAAACGATCTCAGTGAAATAGTAGGGCATAAAGTGCTCAAGACGGTTGCAAAAACTGCGTATGCTGAATTAGCCTCCATCAGGCAGCGCTGCATCTTGGAGCTGGATTCTTTGCGATTCTCGCTCAGTGTCCGGCTTGTGCAATTTTAAGAATCATCCTGTGGGTCCATCGCTGTGTCACCTCCGTCACGTCCAGGGAACCTGCTTGGAATGGAAGCACTATGTCCACGGCCGTGTAGTCCTCCTTCGCAATGACGACGAAACCATCGTCGACGATCCCAGGCTGTTCTAGCGAATCAACCGGTCGCGCAGTGTCCGGCGTGTCTTCCTGCTCGAAGTGCCCCGGGAATGCTGCATCGACCGGCGCAAGGTGATCCTCGTCTCCGCATCTTCAAACTCCTCGTCGTCCTGCATTTGGTCCTGCTGCTGTCCTTCGTCCGACTCAACCTCGGCCCAAAGTCCAACGTTCGCCATCTCCTCCCTCACCGTCTCCGAGTCGGTGTCGGCCTGGTTGTCATCTGGATCCGGCGCCTTCATGTCCGCCTCATGCGCCCTGTCGCACTCCTGCTTGTCCGCCTCCAGCAAACCGGACTGGACGGTCACCACATGCCACGGGAGTTCCCTGCTACACCAGCCCTTGAAGACGTACTTCGCCATCTCGATGTACTCCGGCAGTTTATCCGACGGGCCGAGGTCCGGCGGCGACAAAACAATGGTACCACTTCATGTCCCACATATTGGGGCGGTTGAATGTCGGGAGAAAGATGGCGTTCCCCGTCGCGAGGGCGGACAGTCCGGCGGCGCTGCGTTTGCCCCGCTTGGCTCAGCAGATAAAAAAAGATGAACCACCAGTCAGTCAGGGCGAATGGAGCATATGCAACACAGCTGCAGTACGTAGAGGTTAATGATCAGCCGCATGTTGACGAAATTGAACTACAATACAAACGACAGAACGGCGAGGACAAGGAGCAGCGTGTTCCGCATTGGATAATGATTTTGATTGACAAGGGCTGGAGAACCTTGTAGCTGACCGTCCGGGAACCTTTAGCAACAATCAATAACATGAGTTACGTCCAAGGCCACTTATCTACTCTGCGCTGCATCGGTGCAACGACACTGGATTGCAATTGTGGTACCTCGTGGGCAAGTGGTGTTTTTCTGCATGTCCGTCAGGCCCAGCCCTCGAAAGTCGATGTCCCAACACATGTATGTCTTCTCGTCGATATGTTTGTGAGGTGCCTGGCCGACGACGCCATTGCTGCCCAACGTGTGAGAATTCGTGCTGGCCGGGCCTGCGTAGAAACACACATCGTGCAGTCAGAAGTGCACACATCGTGTCACTGTAATTACTATCTGATATATCAGACAAGAAACAGGAGTACGGCTTCGGGCACTGCTTGTCGGAGCCGACAGGCAAAACCTCGCGTCCGTCGAGACGCGAACGTCCCCCGAGTCCCGCGAGTAGCTCCCCATGTTGCCCGTCGGGCAAGGCTGCAAAGTCGAATTGGGAGCGAAGGGAGTTGGCCTCGCATCGGAAAAAGCCATGGCTGCGAAAAATGTACTATGGAACGGCGAGGATAATGTGTAAGAGACCTGTGGGGAACTAAGTAGTGTATACATTTCCCTAGGACCCTACGACCTCGACAGGGACCCTACATGTTCTGAATGACATCTTGATGCGCATGCTATACGTGTTAAGGTCCAGTATATATGCTGTGTGAATGAAAGACGTCTGTCCGAGTGACAGTGCCCCTGCAAGTCGTCTGCAGTGTTGCTGTGACTGAGGGTAACAGAAGCTGTGCTCATGCTCTAGAACTAGGTTCTGAGTCTGGTCCAACATGTGGCAATCGAAGAACCGATGCTCCTCAAACAGCTTCAACCATGCTCGCATGCACACGCGTCACATCAGCAACAATCATGTCCTGAGCAGAGCAAGTTGGAGGGCGGAAGGCACCTAGTCCAGCGAAGAGCGTGGCATCGGCGATGCAGAGAATGTCCACCGTTGCAGAACGACGGGGGATGCACAACGGGTAAGTCTCATCGGGTTGAACTACGGGTGGCCTCTCAAAACAGCTGAAGAAATACACCCCAGGCAACATCTGGTAGTCAAATTCTGTGCTTATTTTCGGCCTGTTATCCAATCCACAAATTCATACTACTATTTTCCACACAGATCCATTAACATCAAACCGCTGTCCAAGCGGGTGTTTGCTTAATGTGCTTGCTTTTTAGTGTAGCTTAGAAGCTTCAGACTTGAATACGCACAAACACCACCGACAAGTAAACCACACTCAACTGTCATGATCTCAAAGGCGGGGGTTTAAACTCACGAATGTGCAATTTTTGATGATCATGTAAAACGGCCCAAAACATACGCCCTATCCCGGCCATACGCGTATCCCTGCTTAAGTTGCTCTCTGATTTAAGGATCCCTTCAAAGGGAACTGTAGGTAATTAATAAGGCCACAAACCCAGAGGGTCCATATATACGACCATTATGGAATTAGGTCCCAAACGACCATCCCTATTATGGCTTTGGGGGCTTAATTCCATAATGGTAGTATATATGGACCCTCTAGGAAAGTTACGCCAAACATCACAGAGGTCTCCCAGTCCCAACGAACATCCAAGAAATGTTCGAAAGGAATTTAGGGTTTAGGGTATAGGGTTTCGGGTTCAGAGGTTTATGGGTTTACAGTAAACCACTTAAAGTTTGAAATCGGATTAAGGCCAAATAGTGCTGGGATTCCCTACACGCTACTCTTCAGGATTGAGGCGTTGAGGTTTCCAACTTTTTGCTTCTACTGTAGAGGTTAGGTTCGAGTATCTAGTCCGGCAACTTAGATTTCAAAACCCTACAACCCCTACGCTTGATGATATAAATCCTGCATTACCCATAATAAGGAATATACCGCAATTCCCATAGTTTAGGGTCCTTAAGGTAGTGCAAGATTTAATCATCAACAGTAGTCCGGTTTAGGGTTTAGAGGATATGCCGCACTGGCAGAATGACTGATAGCTCTCCGCCTGAACTTGATGTCTCCGGAGGATTTGGCCAAAGGCACCTGGAACCCGCAACCCCTGAAGCTTCATTGCGGGAGTCTAAAGACAGACTGGAGAGGCCGTAGATATAGTATCAGTCATCATCTAAGCTTCTATAGCACCCCGAAATCCGAAACCTCAAAACTTTAAGCTTCGACCCGACGGCCAAAACCCGCCCTGAAGGCAACGAACGAGAAGCTCTCAAATCCGGGGCCCGAACGCGCTTCGGCTGCTCGTCACCTGACATGGAAGTTTTGATGTGGGTTGCAGGCTTTGGGTTTGAAGGGTATAGGGCTAGGGCTATACTGTAGCTTCGGGTGTAGGACATACGTTTCTTTAAAGTGTAATTAATGGCCCTCAGGGCTGCAAGAGCTGAAACCAAGCTCCAAACATACCACAGAGGCCTGAAACTAAACACATTAATCGCAATTACTATGAATCAAAGTGCTGCTTTCCAGGACCATCACGCTCAGTCTGAAGATTTGTGCGGGCGGAGTGGCTGTTGGCATGTCGCTTGCGGGTTGAAGCTTTCATGTTAGCTGGAACCCTGTGTACAAAACTGCTGCTGAGAACACGCCATAGACTTGGTCGACATCGAAATACGTTTCTGATTACCCATTTCGTTTGCACAGCAAGCCAGAAACTTAAAACCTCCAAAACCCTTTACAAAACCCTACTACCTCAACCCTATACTTGGCCCGAAACCCTGATCTTCAACCCCTTAAACCGTGAAATCCCTAAACCCGAAAAGCCTTAAACCCTAAGAAACCTACCTTTTTAGGGCTCCTTCATATGATTTCCTTATATAAGTCCTTCAAAGGTAGGTTCTTTGGGCGATTCTTTGGCCCCAAACCCTAAACCCTACCTTAAACCCGCGCCCCGAAAGCAGGGCTCCTCGCGTCTCTTTGCATTCAAGCAGCAGCCTTTCAGGTTCTGCGCGTTCACGATGCGCACCACATCCGCCCTAAGAAGCAACCCAGAGATCCCAATACCCCTTAATTAAGGGATCTACCTTAAATCATAATATTAAGGCCTCTATCATTTAAGATACATCCCTTAATTAAGGGGTATTAGGTTCTCTGGGAACTCGGATCCCAAGTGTACATCATCATCTTGACCTAAGAGTAATTAACAAGTGTGCCCTTTTGGGTTTAAAGGGGGTTATAAGGGAACCTAAACCCTAAAAAGGGAAATAAGGGCCTACTCTGGGTCATAGTTATCATGGTTTAGGGATCTTTAGCATTAGGGTTCGTAAAAATAGGAGTCTTCCGCTATAGTACTCAAAGTGCCAACTTAGCAGCAACAAGAATACGTATATAACGATGAAGCTTTTGGGTTCCTGTGACGGTGTACCCAAGCCCAAAGGGTCCAAGTACCAATATAGTAGCTACTTAGCAGATATTCGGGCCCCAAAAGTATACACTACACTGGTCGTGCAGGAAGCTGATTAAGAAACCTTGGGCCTGTATTTTGGCTCCTAATATGAATCCTACTATTTTGGAGTTATAGGCCCAGGGTTTCTTAATCAGGTTCCTACAGTACCTGGACCCTTTGGGAACACCTAGAAGGTCATACCCTACCCCTTTTTTAGGATACCTAGTTTTATGGTTAGGTTCTCTTATATAGAAAAGTAGGTACCTTAAGAAAAGGGGTAGGGTATGACCCTATAGGCACTGCTGGAGTCCAAATCCGGAAGCCCTGCATTACCCATTATAAGGAATATACGATAATTCTCACATAGTTTAGGGTCCTTAAGGTAATGCAGGATTTCTATCATCAACCGTATGTCCCCTTACATAGCTCTAGTGTCGGCTCTGCGTTTTCTGCCCACGACCCCATGCCTAAACCAGCCCGAGGGCTCCAGTTACCAAAAATACAAAGTATGGCCCAGGTGCCTATAATTTACCTTAACCTACCAAACCCTACTTTTTTGTAGGTTCTTATTCTGAACCTTAATGTCCTTAATCTGGAATTTATAGGGACCCTACTTTTTGTAGGTTTCGGTAGGTTAAGGTGGGTAAATGGGAGTTTCCGAAAATGGGGGACCCTAGTGTAGTACCCTAAGTAGTAGGATCCTTATTATAAGGACCCCAAAATAAGGTACCCCTTGTTTTCCGAAACTCCCAAATGGAACCCTAGAGCAATACACCCAAGAGTCGTCGCCATGGTCTGCGCCACGCTGACTTCATGGAGGAGGCCCTCAACCTCCAGGAGACCCCGCTATTTCATAAGCACCCTTAGGGCGGCAGGGGGAGGGGGGGGTAGGGTTCCGCTGTTTTGGTCAAAAGGACCCTTAGGGGGGTAGAGTTTAAAGTTTAGGGTTTAGGGTGGAGGGGGGTAGGGGGCCTTAATACCCATAATAAGGACTTGATAAGGCCTCTTTGAGGAAGTATAATCCCCTACCCCCCTCCTCCCTACCCCCCTAAGGGTCCCTATGACTGTCTTATTCTACAAATATACTATACTACCTAAAGTCTCCATTGTAGTTCTTCTTTGGGGTTACGTTATAGGATCTTAAATGCCTAATTGGTTTAACCAAAAAAGGAACTACAATAGATACTATAGGTATAATCTCGGGTTTTGCTACGAATACATATGAGGTGTTCGGAACGATAGTCAGGATTCGATAAGTTCTCTGTAAGGGCAGCAGCAGAGGTGGGTTTTACAGGGTTCCGGGTTTCGGGGCTCTAGATCCAAGACAGGACGCTGCCGCAATGCCTGCAATCATACCTAACTTGTACTAAACGGTTCTCGCATGTTTCCGTCATTCAAGGGCTATCTGGACCCCAAATAACCTAGCTATTTATGGAATCATAATATGAGGAAATCACATGAAGGAACCGTACGACTGGAGGTTCTTGAGGGTCCAGGTACAGGATACTGGAGGCCTTTCTCCTCTTCAGGGCTTAGGGTTTAGGGCTATAGGTGCTATAGGGTTTAGGGTTGAGGGCACGGGTCTAGCTGTTATAAGGGTTTTGAGTTTAGGTGCTATAAGGTTTTTTTTTTTTAAGTGTAATGGGTACCTTGCGGCTCCTGCTACTACGAGCGTACACTACAGTGAAACACTACCGAAGAAGAGGACAAAGGACAGAAAGACACCCTCCGAATCCACAAGCACAAAGTAGCGCCAGAGTAGTTCAGCAAGACCCAAGTCAGCACCGACTAATCTCCCTCATTCTCATCGTCCACATCATCCGTGTCTGCAGCATCACCATCGTCATGATGTCGCCATAATGGTCGCGAATCACGGTCGGGTGCATCCGGAGTTGCTCGCGGTCGTAGGTGATCTGCCATAGTAGGACGGGGACGGGTAGAGGCAGAGGCAGCGGCAGTTACAAGTACAGGTACATGACCATGTGCAAGAACAGGAGGTGGTTCGTGATGTGCCTGGTCATTGCCATCATCACCTGTAGGGCGAGGTTCACGAAGAGCATGGCTATCACGACCATGTAGAGCAGGCCCTACGTCACTACCAGCAGCATGGCCAGTGGTATGGCTAGTAGCACTGGGGTTTCCCAGGGCACCACATCCTCCAGGATATTCTGGGTCACGGTCACGAGGAACACGAGGCTCAGGGTCACGGGGAGCACGACTGTTGGGGGCCCGACTAGGTCGATAGGTGGATGGACGATCATGTACCCCAGAGCTGGTGCCATATGGATGACTCCTTCCATCAGTAGCAGCTTCTCCTAGGGCGTCCAGTTCTCGTTCTCGTTGGCGTAGTCGACGGGCAACATGTTCACGAAGGGCTTGTACCATGGGCTCATCAGCATTTTCCCCCAGGATCGTCTCCCAGATGTTGTTCCCCAAGTTCCTGGCCAAGTGCCAGTCAATAGGACTTTCCCCTGGTGGGCAAGTGCGCAGCACCCGTTGCAGTGCCTGCTGTAGCCAAAAGTGCACTTCCATCACATAGTCTTGACGTGCCAATAGCCGCCTAGCGATCTCCCTGGATGTCCCGGCATTCGGCCTGTACATGGCCTCACGGACTGCCCGTTGAAGAGTGAAGGCTCGACCAGCGTAGTTGCTTTCGGCCTCCAGAGACGACTCCATCTGCTGCTCCTCGTTGTGTAGTGCACTCAGATCCAAAGGTCCGAGAATCGCTGGGGGAACCGGTGCAGCTGCAGAGGCGTTGGGTAAAGTGGCAGCAGAGTCAACTGTAGCTTCCACATCTTGAGTTTCTCCATCTGTAGCATCACGAGGTTCCCCATCTGTGGCATAACGACGGCGACGACTTTCCCCCAGGTCCATGAAAGAGGCAACATCTCCATCAGGGTCGCTGCGAGGTGGATTACGTGGTGGAGGACTTCGAGAGCGAGTTCCAGACCCTGTAGAGCCACCTTCGCGCCTAGCGAGAGCAACACGGTCCGGACGGGAGATCATCAGGCCGTACTCGAAGACTTCGGCCATCACTTCCGTCAGTTCATCGGTTCATTCAAGCAGCTCCATTCTCAAAGCACTGTCCGCTGGCGGCTCCCGTCGTAGAGGAAGGCATCCTGGTTCACGAGAGCGATCAAGGACAGGTCTTTCAGCAACGTCTTGAAGGGTAGTCGCGTGCATACTCTGGGCAAGCCAACTAGAAAGTGCCCAGCGAGCCTCAGGCCCTCGATCCGTAGATCTGTAGTGGTAGTAGCGTCGCAAGATCTCCTCGAGGCGCCGTTGGACTATAGCCGGCACGCCCTCACGCGTCAAGGCTGCACGTTCTTCCCCAGTGATACCTGGGTGCTCCATAAGGGACGACTCTTCTCCCTCCATCTGCAGCATTCCAGTGTCGTCTGTGTCATTGGTCCCAGTTTGGTTCTTCCCCACACTGCGAACAGCATCACGACGGGCCTTATCTTCCTTGTATTGCCGAAGCCACCCAGGGATCCACTGGCCTTTTGCCCACTCATCAAAGCGAGCAGCCCGCTTGTCCAGTCTCGCTTTGCCTTGCCCCCCAAAGTGCTTCTTGGCCTCCTCATCCGTGCGCGGCTTATGTTGCCAAACTCCTTGTTTGTAGAATCCCCGTGTCGCCGTAGACGAGGATGCCATAGAGGTCCCAGTGCCATCAACATTTGTTTGTACAGGTGCCGGATCGGTACTTGACGAAGAGGTTGCCCCCAAAGTTCCCTCATTGACATTGTTTCTCTTTGTCCCATCTTCATTATGCCAACGGTCCACACCATCTCGCCATTGTCCCCATCGTTGCACCATCCCATGACGACGTTCTCGAGCGGCAAGGAGGGCACGTTGTTCACGCATGACCTCTCTATAGCTCATTGCGGCATGGTGCACGAGTTCTTCCAAAGGTAGCCACGGAAGCTCTCCTCGCTGGGCAAGCCAATCCAACAAATCACGTACAGACAGCCATTGATCTTCCACTTGTACTACGGTATCCATGACGTTCCCCGTGACCACATCATCTTCCCAAGAGGGTTCCACATCGCTGGGGTCTCTACCAAGATTCCCAACACCAGTGTGATCACCGCCAGCAGGAGGACGTACAGGAGGAGCAGGATGTCCACCATCACCTTCAGCTTGTTGAACAGGTAGAACAGAACGCGGATCTTCGGCAGGGACAGGTTCACAATGAGGTCCGCGACATAGTTGTTCTTGGTCAGGTACAGGAGGAAACCATTCTTGTTCAGGCACAGTCGGCTCCCGCATTTCCCATGGTGTATTGTCCACAGCATTTGTAGTGACCACATCATCTCCCCATGTGGGCTCCGTATCGCTGGAGTCGTGTCTCTGATTCCCCGAACCACTGTGATCCTCGCCAGCAGGAGGTAGTGCAGGATGAGCAGAATGTCCACCAGCACCTTGAACATGACGTACAGATAGAACAGAACGTGGAACTTCTTCTGGATCATGCAGGTCCGCATTGAGGTCCATGACATTGTTCTGCTTGTTCTGGGGGTGCAAGAGGGTTCCCCATTGCCACTTGTGCAGAATCATCCACAGCGACAGCTCCACGACGAAGTATATCGTCACTTTGTTCGCCAGGTACAGGCTCCCAATGTACTTCACGTTCCCCAGCAGCATCATGTTGAGATACAGCATGTGGTGCAGGCTCTCCCCGATGTACAGAATCAGCATGATCAGTTCGTCCATCACGTTGTACTGATACTTCCTCTGTTGCACCCAAACGAAGTGTGCGTCCGTCATGTAGAAGCTCCGCCAATGACTTCTCTGTTGTGGCGACGGGCGGCGTGGCAAAGTCATGCAAAACATCATCCAGGGCCGAGGAAGGTACAGACGCAGTTACGGCTGCGCCAAAGGCCGGAGGCGCCCAAAGCAAACGCCCGTCATGTCGGCGTCGACGAAGGTCATCACTGGGCCAGCTCGTCTCCGACAAGTCGTCGTCCCATGCAGCGAAGGTCACAAGGGGCAGCCGCAAAAGGACAACGCACGCGCTCCAGAGTCGCAGGTCGCCCAACATCAGGATCCACGAGCAGGCGCGAGACAAAGGGAGGGGTCCTTGAACACTCAGGCACTCAGGCAATGGCAAGTTCCCCGGGTTGAAGGGCGCACTGCATAGAACACATCCCAGCACTCTTCTTGAAAACACAAGCTGAAGTTACCAAGTAGATCACGATTTTCATGTTCCACAGGTCATGCAAAAGTTTCTGGATTCCAAGTGTAAGTCACGATCATCACGCTCAATCTTGCAAGAGGCACATCAAGCAATTTCAACCCAAAGGACGAAGTTATCCATGGACAAGGAGATAAGCACACAAGTATGCAGAGTTCTCCGCGGACAGCGTCATTGAGACACACATGTGTACCACTCCTCCGACCAAAGACAAGCATCAATAACAATCCGAGAGAGGTTCTCCCACTTACCACCGAAGAGCAGCTTGTCTCCCACGGCTCCACTTGACATCATAACAAGCTACCCACGAACTGCAGCTAGCTCTCCACTGTGCACGATCATGTGTTTTTTGCTCCCATTCAAGTCCCAAGTGCTGCGCTACACGTCGTTCAGTGTTGTCTGCATAGAAACACCCAGGGTGTCGCTCACCTACATCAGGTGATAACTGTTGTTGTTGTCGCCACCACTTCAACGATCTCCACCTCATCATTTTGAGCGGGTTTCCAGGTACAAGTTGACCATGATCATCCCATCCTTCATTCTGCCTTCCCCAGTGGCCAAAGAGGCCATGTTGGAGTTCCAAGACCGATGTGGACCAGCGAGAATGTCCTTGGGTATGTAGCCAAGCACGGACATGTCGACAAGTGCGTTGATTCCATTGAACCCATTGTTCTTCTGGCCGTCGTCTCAGTTTGAAAGCATCACGCAGGACAGAAATTTGGATGCTATTTGCTGATGTGAGCTCTTCGATGTTCCAATGGACTGCACCAGCACTCCAAGCAATGGTACTGAAGACCAAGGTTTGCAGGATTCTGACTTTCTCCGACCATTTGCCCTCCTCACGAAGAAGATCACGATGTTGCGCCGCAGCAGCTTTAGCTCTCACCAACAGGTCTCTGGCTTGTTGTCCAGTTCCTTCGCAGAAAGAAAAATTTACTCCCAAGACCCGGATCCTCGATTCAGGCGGCAGGACATGAACGATCTCACCCTCAATGCGCAGTTGGCGACGCCCACGGAAGGAAGGCGAGGCAATCACCTGTGTTTTTTCCCCTGCGAGCTGTAGTCCCAGTTTAGCAAGTTCCGCAGATATGAGACCTATTTTCCGCTCAAGACTTTCGATGCACTGATCCCACACAAAGATATCGTCCTGGAAGAAGAGCAGACTCAACGGTACATCACCCCATGGTGTAGGGAGGCTCAACCAGTTCCGACTTGCAAGAAAATGATCAAGACATTCCCCCATCAGAAGACCGAAAAGTTCGGCAGACTCAGGCGCCCCTTGTTTAATCCCCTGTGTACAGGTGACAGAGACTCTGTGTCCACCAGGCACTTGACCACATAGATGGTTAGTAGCCAACTGCCGAACAAGCCATCTGACCTCAGCATTCAACTTGTAATTCCTGGTGCGGTCAACGAACATCTTGACAGCCGCGGATCTCTGTACCTTGTCGAAGGCACCACGTACGTCCAACTTAGCGCACACCGCGGGTAGGCGCCACTCTTTGATGTTGTCTCGCAAACGTGTCATGCTCCCAATAAGATCAGCTGATTGACGGCCCACGCCGCAACACGACGACGAGCTGGGGCCTCTCAGGGTCGGAAAGATTCTTCCCATCACGAGTTTGTTCAGACATTTCTGCGCCGCCGAGCTCATACTTATCGGACGTAGGTCTTTCGGGCTCATCGGAGTCTCGATCTTCGCCAACAAAGCAAGCAAGCTCGTATCCCACTGGGGAGGGGCAAAAGTTCCCCGGATGGTATGGTTTATAAGGGCCACAAGATCCCCAGCAGCCTCGTCGTTCAGCATAATGCGACGGAGAAGGTCGACCCCAACAGCATCTGGTCCAACGGAAGTATTTGCCCTCATTGACGTCAATGTTGTCCACACATCTTCCCGGGTGAAGTCAATCCAACCGCCATCATCCGGTAGTTGCTGCAAGGCCTCCTCGATCGACAGGTCCCATTCGTGTTGAGGAGGTCCCACGAGCTTTGATTCAAGGTGCACAGCCACTTCTTCAGTGATATTTGCCGCAGACTTGGTTTCCAGCAATCTTCCCCACCAACCAGGCCGACGGAGCTTATCTCGTTTATGTTCACGGTAGGCTAGCCAATCACCTTGCAAGACCTTCTGTCTTCGTTGGGCGCACCAATCTTTGCGAGCACTACTACTTCTGAGAACTCCTTGGCTTCGTACATTTCCGGGCGAGCTCCGCAACATCATTCCAATCGACAATAGGTTCTTCGCCAATGGCAGAATCATCCACTACCCATCGTGGGCGAGAATCAGGTCCCCACTGTTGGCGTTTCTTGCATTGCACTTTGAAGGAGGAGAGCAGCAGGGCATGATCAGTACCAATACTTTTCCTTCTTTCACTGTCAATGCAAGTTTCAGAAAGGTCTGCCTGGCGAGCGAACACCATGTCGATCTGTCGTCCTTGTCGGTCAGGGTCACGAGGGAAATGGGTAGGGAGATGCCGTTGCTCAGGGTGCGGAGGAAGAGGACGAAGTCCTAAAGATCCAAAGACCTCTGTCACAACTTGGAAATTGGTGCTTCCCAAATGAGTGTCGACCCCAAATGCTCCCTCATCGGACTCTATCCATCCAATCTCCTCATTAACATCAATACCAACAATGCAGGGCAAATGCCTCCATTTGTTGTCAAACATTCGTCCAACATCACGGATGGCACTGTCGTAAGCATTGTTGGTCACCCCTGTGGGCGCATGCACCGTTGCCAAGACGACTCTACAAATGTTCTTCAGCTTCACAACGATGGCACATCCTCTGGACGACGAGCGCTTATCAACCACCGAGTCAAACACATCAGACGCGATGCCAATGGCCGTGCCTCTCCACTGTTTTGCATGTTGGAACGAAACCCACACACAACGGTCTTGATCTTCTCCATCTGTTTGCCACCCTGCTTTTCGTCTAGCGACTTCTTGAACAAGTAGGACATCTCCTTCAGGGCAGGCGTTGTTCACCTTCTCCAAAGACTGTCCCCCCAAATTCCAGCATGCAACTTGAAGTCGGGTATGTTTTGCACATACTCTTGTAGAATCCCTGGACTCCACTGGTGAAACTTGTTTGTGGGTGTTGAGCTCAGTAAGCGTTGAGCTCCCTTTCGAGAGCATTGATCACTCCACAAGAGCTCGCCCCAGTGATGGTCACCAGGGCATTGACGTCGACCCAGCCGCCTTGCATGACCTTGATGTCACCCGCTCTCGGCTGACGATGTGTTGAGCTCCCGATTTTGTGATCTCCCTTCCACACTGTTCCGGCTATCCAATCCACATCATACTTGTCTGCCAGAAGGCTCTCCGGGCACTTGGGTGTACCAGCTTCATCTTTAGCCTCTCCTGCGAGCTCAATGGCGACACGTCGAAGCATAGAGGCATGACTCGTTCGTTGACGTGCAGACTTGGATTTCATGAAGGATGTCCATGCCGGCTTACCATGAGGGTTGCTTTCCCAGACATGTTTGAGGCCATTGATGATCTTAATGACTCCCCACATCCTTTCCTTGACCAGGTAGAAATTCTCCCCCTCTCTCTCTCTTTGAACCTGATGACGCCAAAACTTTTGCGAGGCCCAAACACTGTGATCTTCTCCACGCCCACCAAACTTTTGATCTCCGCTTTCTGCAGCAACACGGCGGCCTCAGCTTCAATCACATCTCGCTTGGTGTCCTGTTGCCAACCGCCCATGATTAAAGTGCGTTTGTCTTCCTCCGAAAGGCCTTCGCGATTGGGCTCGCCATGGTCCAGAAAGGCGCGTCTCTTCTGGCTTCCCATTGCAGGTCCATGTTGAGCAGGTCCCGCTTGTTCATCTTGGCCTCCGCGTCGATCTCCTGTGCCTGTTCCACGACGGTCAAGGTATTGAGCCCAAGGATCTCGTTCGGCTGCTTGTCCCCCAAGTGGTAGTTGCTGGTTATGAACTTCGACCATCTGCTTCTTGAGTTCCCCCACGGTCTCCTCAAGGTTGGTAATCTGTTCCTTGTGCCTGGCTAGCTCGGTCTGTTGAACCACGTTGTCCTTCTCGGTGATTTGCAATCTTCCCCCAAATTGGTCAATCAGATCTTTGCTCCGGACTCTTTCTTGTTCCAAATCATCAAGTCGATGGCGAAGGTCACCCCAGGCACTCTGCATCTCATGCTTGACTGACGAGAGGTGTGATGCGAACATTTCACGGAGCATTTTCCCCGTCAATGGAGGATCGTCTCCGTCTTCATGAGCACGTTTCGAGGGACTTTCGGCATCGTCATCATCGTCTTCTTGCTTGATGGTGTCGCTCTCCCTTCTCGCACGATCACGATCTCTCTTCTTCTTCCTACGCCCAAGCTCGACATGGCCAATTCCCCCAACAACAACAGGTTCGGCTGCTTCCCCTTCCATCTGTTCGTCACCCGGTCCATCAGGACCATCATGCTCTTTCTCGTCATCGTCCATGTCAGAGACTATGTCTGTGGGGCTGGGTACTACAATCATTTCCCCCAAGAGCGACCACGTAGTAGACAGCGAGGAAGGAACCAAAGACTTACCCTCGTGCAAGACCAACCACAAGTTCCGAAGATCCAGGAAATCCCAGGAAAGTGCCCCCGTCCTCCGCAGCAGTCCTCGTCGTCAATGACGTAGAGGAGCACCGGAGCGTTTGTCCCAGCAGGCAACGAGGTGGAGGCTCGAAATGTTCAGGGAGAGGCGGGAAAGGAGGGGGCACTACAGTCAGAAAATCGTCACGCGGCAAACGCCCTCAGCCCAAACACTTGAGCCGTAGCCATTTTGCTATAAGGTTTAGGGTTTAGGGCTTCGGGTTCAGGGGTCAAGCTTTAGGCTCTTCACGGTTTTCGGCGGCGTGGCTTTGGAGTCGACAGCTCCAGTGGAGTTCATACTTGTATACATGCATGTTTTAGAAAATTAAGAAAACTTCAAATTTCACCGGACAACTACACTTACTTAGTTGCTGCGTTCATAAGCACCCAAAAGCGTACACTTTCAGTTATTTATAGTGGGTAATACTATCCCAAAAGTGTAAAGTGCATCTACTCAGCTACTGAGCTTAAAGTTACTTATAGCCTTGATTACTGAAGGTACTGTACTTGGAACCGTGCTTGCTAAGTCCTTGGGGCAACGAACTAGCGCACACCCACAGCCTGTGACAAGAACCTGACCACTGAATAGCGAGGACTACGTGATATCTTTGGCTGTGCCTGCGGAATGCCCAGTGTGGTTATGCCCCTGAGCCCTGCATAGCTGGATCAAGGCCACCTAACACCTGAACTAACAGCCTAAGCAACTTAAAGCGTGAAGACCTTAAACTCTATAAAAGCCTCGGAACGCTGCAGCTCTGAACGCCAAAGACTACATACCCTAACGCTCCATATACCTTTATAGTATATAGTATAGATGAACCCCAAAGACTACATACCCTAAGGCTCCATATACCTATATAGTATATACCTAAGCATTAAGTCCTCGTGATATACCGAATAAGCTCTGCATTCTGGCCGCCTGCACTTTCCGCGCGCTGCCTGCGCGTATCAGAACGTCGCAGGACGCCACGGTGATTTCCAGCCTGCCGACTCCGTTTAGGTTCGGTTCAGCGGTTATCGCCCTAAACCCTAAACCCTAAACCCTAAACCGTGGCTCAGGAGGATAAGCTCTCCCAAGACTGCAGGACAATCCTGTTTCCCCAACCCTAAACCGCATAGGCATCGTCGAACCTAAACGTCAAAACCCAAACCCCAAACATCGACGGCGAACCTACCGCCTGAATCGGGCTCCTTTTCAAGGTATTTTAAAGGACTCCAGTGGGGTGAATACAGGGGCTTAGACACTTTGGAAAGGATTTCGGGTGTAGTATATACTACACCTGTATCCCCTGACCCTACAAAATAGTAGGTTGTGACCCCTTAGTTAGAGGGTCTAACCCCCCAAGACAGTAGGCTTCTTGATCCCCAGGCAGTGATTTGAAGGAGCCATAGGAAGTGTTGAGGCTTCTCGTCTATACTACTCAAAGGATCATGGGACTTGATAACTAGGGTTATAAATAAGGTAGCTATACTTTTAAGCCCACTTAAGGTACTTATAACCTGACTTACTAAGTCACGTGATCCTCCAAGTATTCCCAAGCCTCGAAAGCGGCGCCCAGAGAGCCAAACACTTCTTACGCTAGGGTCCATGTACCCGAAAAGTGTATACGTGGTCCGCAAAGCACCTAAAAAGGGAGTACTTTAAGGCCGAAGTATATACTTCTTGGGTACATGGACCCTCAGGAGCGAGGAATGATGAGTGTAGCTGGTTCAGCGGCCTTAGTAATTGACACGGATACAAATTTGATGTTAAAACTAAAGTATAATGGGCCCCAAAACACTATTCTAATTAATAAGGCCCCTATATTAGGTCCCTGTCCTGTCGCCGTAGGTGTACTGCACAGGAACCCGCCGGACCCACTCGAAGTTGAAGGCAACCTTCCAGGAGCAGAGGGTTCCCACAGGCGGTTCAGGGTTCAGGGTATACCTTAACCCTTCCTTATTGTGATTTCTGTATATAAGTCCTTAAAAATGTAAGTTCTTCGAGGTTGAGTAAGGTAGGCTATAGGGTTTCCATAGGCCCCAGCATCCTTGTCCTGCAAACCTGACATGAACACCCTAAACTAGGGCCTTTAAATAATCAGAACATGGTTTTGGGGCCCATTATACGTATACTATACAATTCATGCGGAACCCACAAAGTAGAATTGGTAATTATCTAGGCCCTGTTTTGATCCGTATTGAAACCTTTGAGTGAATCTATGATGGGAGGCCAAACGGGGGGTTCAAGATTCTTGGGGTAGGGATTCCTTAATATGAACGCTATTATGGGAACCCTAATCCATACTAAACCCCCATAAGCTAAAACCCCGTTTGGCCTCCTATGATACCCTTATAGATCCCTTTAAAGGAACCCCTATAGATCCCTTTAAAGGAACCCTAGGGATCCCTAACCCCCATAGGCTAAAACCCCTTTTGGCCTCCTATGAATCTAGCGAGGAGGCCCAAGAAGCCCAGTCACCCTTCGAGCAGGTTGGTGGGTGTTGGGTGCGTGCTGTAAAGATTCCCTAGGGCTCCAGTTACCTAAATAGTAGGTTACTAACCATATATTATGTAGCCCAGTAACCTACTATTTGGGTCACTGGAGCTTCAGGGACTTTTTGGTTGGAAGAACAGTAGGCACGGCTGAATAATTACTTGGTGCGAGCATCCTCTCATAATTTAGCCTGTAGCTACTTTTGAAAGGTTTCTGAAGCCCCACACCCTATTCCAAATTCTTGGTGACCGGTGACCCTGTAACAAACCGCGAGAGAACTTCCACCGACAATCCCTTACGCAAGCGCTGGCTTGATGTGGAGGTTTGGGAGGGCTTTCGGATGTGCATCTGGGCAGCTTATGGAATTCGAACAGAGGGCGCGGGGCAAGGTTCGGGGTCTAAGGGTGGTTCAGAACAAAAAAAAGCGTCTGGCCTAAACCCTATAAACCCTAAACCCTACAAGCCCGAAAACCCCAAACCCTCAAGTTCGGCCATGCAGCCAGCAGGAGGTAAACGAGCAGCAGCACCAAGATAAAAGAGAACCTTGGCTCGGGGTCCATCTGCCCGAAGCCCTACTTGACCCCAAGTAGCCTACATTCCGTATGGCTCCTTTTAAGAGTTCCTTATGAACGTCCTTGAAAAAGTTGGCTCTGTAAAGTCCAGGTATACCTAAAGCCTGAGCAAAGATTTTCATGGATAGTAGCTCACTCAAGCTGTGCTGGAGGCCGGACTAAAGTATAATGTGAACCGCAAAGGACGCAAAGCCATCAAATCTTTGGGACCCGACAAACTATAAGACTTCTTCGCCCTACCCTCGCGCCCAGACTCTAGAAACACTTCATCAAATATCGCCGGGATGGTACATGAAGGGTCAGGGGCCCCAGGATGGGATGTATGTTTATAACTAAGCACCTTAACCACGGGTAGACCTGTTTCTGAGTGACATTAGCCCTAAACCCTATACCCTCCCAGTCATACCCAAGTTTACTAGGTCTCCTGATCCTGTAGCGCGCTGATTGCTTCCGCGCCGCAATCGAAAGATGCGGCGGGGCCAGGAATGGCTGGACACGTTTTTTCGGCAGCTGTCGCAGCCGGCCATGGACGATACGAATGAGGATCAGTGACCGACTGTTACGCACCCAGAGACTCCAATGCACCTTCGCTGCTCTCGCAATAAGGAAACGTAGTGTACCTCGAATTCACCCTCTTCCAACTAAGGGATTTGGAGTCTCTGGGCACCTTTCTCCCAAACCCTAAATCCTAAACCCTAAACCCTGGCTCGAAATTACTTCTGCAAGCTACCCAAATAAACCTTGCACTAAGCCCCGAACCCCAAGCCCTAAATAAACCCTAGACCAGCGCAGTCGGGCTAAGACCGGATCGCCACCCCCACCTCTTCTTGAGGCGGAAGTTTTGGGCCCAGAATGGCTAAACTTATCTTTGGTTAGTAGGGAATGGAGGAAGGGGGTGCACTTATGACTACTAATGTCTGGATTCTTGGAAACAGACTCCGGAACCACAAACAGACTCCGGAATATTAAGCATCGATACATCAATCTTGAGCACCTCTGACTAGGTCCTTGGAGCTACGGTTCCTGTGCATTTTCGGAAAGAACAGAACTTGGTTTCCGTCTTTCGCATATTGTTTCAACAAATCATGAAAAAATCAAAGACCGTTCCGATGCATAGTTTCGATGAACTATTTCGCTTTGGTGAAAAGATTGAACCTGAGCCTGCAGCCAATATCATGTCATACACACATACATACGTATATGCATATATATATATATATATATACATTTGTTTCTTCTCCAGTATCATATGAGACACTTTCCCAGCAGCACTGCGACAGGAGCGCTTTGCAGCAGCGGCAGCCGTAACCCAAACCCGGAGCTTAAAACTATAACCCATAAACCTTGCAAGCCCTAAGCCTTTAGCCGCCGGTAAACCCAAAAGGGCCTAGGACTTAGAACTAAACGCTAAAGTTGGTGCTGCAGAAGTACCACTTAAAGGTGCTGACGAAGTACCTGTCCTAGATTAGGTCTTGGCTGCCTTTATCGGCTTAAGATGCATTTAGGATTTAGGGTTTCTAGCTTTAGGCATAGGTGTTAAACTTAGGATAAAACGGTGCTGCATAAGTACCGTGTGGGTGCTGCGGAAGTACCCAAACTACAGCTAGCCTTGCTCGCTTATGTTAGACTATAACCGACTTAGGATAAAGCGGTGCTGTCTAAGTACCGTGCGGGTGCTGCGAAAGTACCCTAAAAGCTATAGATCTAACCTTGCTCGCTTAAGCTAGCTTAGGATAATTTTAAGCTAAAGATAGCTAGGAGACGGTGCTAGCCTTGCTCGCTTAAGTTAGCTTTGGATCGCTTTAAGCTGGAGATAAATAGTAGTCGGTGCTGCTGAAGTACCGCTCGGGTGCTGCAAAAGTACCCTACAGCTTTAGAGTTAGCCTTGCTCGCTTAAGTTAGCTTAGGAATTTAGGCTAAGGATAAATAGAGACGGTGCTGCATAAGTACCGTGCAGGTGCTGCAAAAGTACCCTGAAGCTTTAGAGCTAACCCTGCTCGCTGTAGTTCGCAGCTTAGGGCTTAGGATCGTGTTAATGCTAAGGATAAAATAGGCGGTGCTGCTTAAGCACCGTGCAGGTGCTGCAACAGTACCTTACAACTTTAGAGCTAGCCTTGCTCGCTTCGAAAACGTCGTTTAAGCTTAGGGCTATAAGGATAAGCGGTGCTGCCTAAGTACCGAGCGTGGGTGCTGCACAAGTACCCCATAAATCTAGGCCTAGGTGCTTGGTTTCGCTTAAAATCACGCTTGATCAGATTTTAGCCGAACCATGTAGTATTCTAAAGCACCGAGCCCGAAATATGGGGTACATCACAATTAAGGACGGTGCTGCATAAGTACTGTGCTGGTGCTGCTAGAGTACCATCGGCATAGTAAACATCATTGTCGTGTGTTATTTAAGAAACGGATGTTGTTCAGGTGCAATTCTTGGTGTTAAATGTCCTTAGGCACTACCGATTAATGATCTAAAAAATCTGCTCCATTATCCTAATTCCGGGAGCCCGAATTCCAGAACCCACTACACCCAAAGCACCCCACAAGCCTCGTTGCCATTACCCCAAAACTTAATGCTCCTACTCCTACTCTGGACCCTTAAGAAGGACGGTCCTGGACCCCGGCACAGAGACCGCAGCGCAAGCGCCCGGCACTTGGAAAAGCCGGGCCTGAGCTGTAGCATAAGCATAAAGTAGAAACGTTGTTGTGATCAGACAGTGAGAGCAGTTGACGGACTGATGGATGTTTGCTTCCTGGCTCGTATAGTACGACGCAAGAAAAAGGCAAGAAGTGATTTCATTACCGAGGTGAGCTTTCGCTAGAGGATGTTTGTGCACCTGATTTCTGACACCCTTACAACTATGCAAATTATTGAGTGCTACTTATTGCTACGCTACAAGTGCAACGAAGAATCACTTCTGCCCTTGGCGGCGTTCTAGCTGCTGTGCTGGCTCGGTCACAGTATCTCCGGGAATTGTTACGTACCTGCTCTGGAGTTGCAAGTGGGCATGTAAGGTGATATTCCTGACACCGTGACCCGGCGGGAAGCAGTGATCGCTTGAAGCACAAGAATGACGTCCACGGTTGCGCTGCCAAACTGCTGCTATGAAGTAGTATTATGTAGTCGTAGTCTTCTATATATACATATTGCGGAAGACACCCAAATCACTTCCTCCAACACGCCCCTCAGGCCGGGCTCGTCGGGCTTGGGATCTGGCAAGTAAGGCAAGCATCGCTGCTACAAACCGCAATTCCACCGATCAACATGGCGGCAGGGCATCCGTCGGAACCTGTGATGGACTCGGTCGCCGGGGGCTTCCATCACGAGCCTCCTCCTGACCAAAATTTCAGGGAACAAAGCTCCAGGATCACGTGATATCTTTATTGGGCGCCTTCTTGGCCTTCTTGAGCTTCTTCCCCGGCCCCTGGCTTCTGCCCGATGGTGGGTCCTGCCAAGTTCAAGAGTCATGAGTTCGGGCTCTTAAACGATGGCAACTTGCCTTGCTGCTGCCGGCACCGCCGGCTCCCGAAGCCTCGCCATGCGTCGAATCATGTCATTTGTCCTTGATGCAAGCACTGTTATCCTTTATCCTGGCCTGTTTGCCCATCTCGGCCAGCTCTTCCAGGCTCGCATCCTTCTGGACCGCCTTTTGGACAGGAGTTGCCAGCGGACCACATGATGCGTCTTACGGACCGGAGCCTCTGCAAGCTGCACGTCCCCAAGCTTCGGCTTTGGAAGCGCCGCTGGCGCCTTTCAAGGTCGACTAGGTACGTTAGGTAGTCAAACAATCAATGATGCGAAGCTAGGAAATATTCGGGCCTTAGCCGTTGCAGCTTCTCGCTTCCGCTTCTGCTGTGGCTGCAAAGCTTTCGCCGGGACAACCTGCCGTTCTTCACCGGGTATCTCTGTCTCTATTTGTCTCTCTGTCTCGTTCACTGCGATTGAGTTGTTATCTGCGACACCTTCGCCGCCAAGCTCGACTAGTAGAATCGCAAAGAGTCGTTATAATCATGCGAGGCACCTTGGACTGTTTCGCCTCCTCCTGCTTCTTGACGAGCTTTGTGGCTTGGGACACCTCCCAAATTGAATTCGTGAGATTCTCCCTCAGTATCCTTTTTTCCCTCCCTCTCTCTCTCTCTCTCTGTGTGCCTGGGCCTGCAAGGCTTTGATCGTTGCATCCTTCTGCAGCAGCTCCTCCCGCAAAGCCGTCGTCTCGCGGCTTTGCTCCTTGGCCTCGCTCTCCTTTTTCTGGAGCTGGCGGACGTGCTCCTTTATGAGCTGAGCACGCCGCTCCTCCGCCGCGGCCTGCTTCTCCTCCAGCATCACCTTCATTTGCTGCAGGTTGTCCGCCGTATTTTTCTCCAGTCTCTTCTGGAGCTCGGCCCGCCCCGCCTCAGCCTGCTCGTAGAGCTGCTTGTACTGCCCACTTTGGCCCAAGTTTGGCAAGCTGGCCAAAAGCTGGTTGTGGGCAGTGGTCACCTGGAAGTTCGCCGCCTCGAGCTGGGAGATCTGCTGCGTGAGCAACTGTGCCTTCTGGCCGTGGTCCGTCTCCATCTCGGCCATCTTGCCCTTCAGCTCCACATTCTCGGCGGCAGTGGTCTCCAGTGCTGCAGTCATCGTTGCCAGCTCGACCTTGACGTCGCTGAGCTTCTCAGCCATGCGCTCCCAGGATCGTCCCGCCTCCCTGTTGACCTGGCTTGGCCTGTCTGGCCGTGCGCCCCGACCCTTCGGCCGGACTTCCGCACCAAGCTCCGGCACTTGCTTGGCCGACGCCGCCTCCGTAGCCGCTCGCTTGGCCGACGCTTCCTTGGCCACAGCATTCATCTCTGCCTTGAGCTCTTTCGCCGCCTCCGCAAACCGCCTCGGCGGCACTGCAGGCGGGCTCATCTCCTTCGGCACGTAGCCGACTCGAGGCGGCACCACCATCTTGGAAGCCTTTGCCTCAGTCCTGGCCGGGACAACCTTGGCAACCGCCTGTTGCTCCGCCATCTTCAAGAAACCTACTGCTGCTACTGTCACTTGCTGTCAGCTGCCCTGCTGCTGATGCTGCGGCTGCGCTGTGTGTGGGTCTAAGTTAAAGACCTAAGCCTAAGATGGTGTTCATGGTGCTGGGTTCTGACTAGTCATGTCAAACATCAGAGGGCTGGCTGTCTATTGCCTGGATTCCCGAACACTGCCACGACCCATGTTGCTGGAACCGCGCGGAAGATCACCGTTCAATTCGAATGGCATGCCGTGACAAATCAAAGCTAGCAGCACTCACTGCAGAACATGTGTGCCACAGGTGAACAGTCTGTTAGCCACTTGTGTAGTTGCAGCATAGCATGGTCGAAGCCAAGGCCACGGCCCTGCAGGCCAGCAGTGCCAGGTCAACCCCCCAGCCTCAGTGCAACTTGTTTTGGTTTTATGAACAGGTATGTTTGGAGTTTCGTGGATTTAGGGTCGTTTAGGAGAGTGTAGGGTTCAGGGATGGTGGTGATGCAGAGTTGCCATATCATCCTCGCAAAGGTGCGGCAGGAGTACCTGTGAGAG